TAGCTAACTGGTAAAATTGCAGATTTCTCATAGAAATCAGCACTTTTTATAAACTGGGGTTAAACCAGGCTAGTCCTCACCCATAAAGAACTTCAGAAAGATGAAGTGCTTTTGAGGTGTGGAGTGGTCCTTTAAAGTAAACCTTTTGTGACAGATATAGGTTTGCAGTTTTCTAACCAACTGCACAACATATTATACAATAAGTATTTCTTCCCTTGATACTATTAATACCTCATATTTTAATTTATTTCCATTACTCCTGGCTCCTGCTGAAAGCATCAATCAAGTTTTCAGTGGATATTATTACATTTGCTGTAAGACACACCTCTCCTGCATATCTCATAACAGGTTAAAAGTCCCCAACACTTTATGTTAGCTTTGTGTGAATAAAATGTATCTGTTTTCTCACCATTCTCAGATTGTAAATCCAAAGCTGCTGCAATAAAACATTCTGGCTGTTTCTCGCCTCTGTCCTGTGCTACTGCTCTCACACAGAACCATCTTCCCCTTGCAGGCATTGCTTTTCCTTAGGCTAAATTCAAATAGAAGAAACGCCTGGAGGAGAGTTTGCCTGACATGAAAAACACAGCCCTCTTATTTCTGTGCTGAATGGCAGAGGTTCAGCACAGACTGAACTGACAAGAGGGTTAAGGGTTGTTTTTAACCTCAGATTTTAGAGAAATCTAGATATTTGCTAGCATAATGTATCAATGAAATCTGATACTATATCATTTAGGATTAAGTGGTATTTGTCATGCTAGCTAATCTCTTGTGTCTGGATAATGCCAAGCATGTAGTTTCAAAGTATTATTCTGCTATCCTGTGCAAAATAGTGGGATGCATTTTATTAAAAGTGAACAGGGTACAAGAGAATGCACACACAGGTTCTATTTTCTCAAAATGAATGTCTTATAGGTTATTGTATTCCTTTCCTGTAACAGGTTAGCACCTCATGGTTTGTATTGACCCTGAAGAGTGTGTTTTTCCATTTTACAAAAATTGCAGATTTCAATAGAAATTGGCACTTTTATAAATGAACTCTGTTACACACTCCTGTCTGTCAATCAGATAATTAAATGGACACTATAGACACCAGAACAACTACCGCTTAATGTAGTTGTTCTAGTGAGTATAATAGCTCCCTTCAGGCATTTTCGTGCAAACACTGCAGAGAAACGGCAGTGTTTACATTGCCACTAGGGACACCTCCAAGTGGCCACTGGAGGGGCTTCCTGACTCAGGGCTGCACAGTAAGCAGCCCTGCCGTTCAGTGTCCCGACGCTCAGCATTAAGATGCTGAATTTTCCTCATAGAGATGCATTGATTCAATGAATCTCTATGAGGAGGTCCTGATTGGTCAATTGGTCCATACACACACACATAGACTGCTGAGTCCATACACACACATACACAGACTCTGCTGAGTCCATACACACACACACACACACACACACACACAGACTCTGCTGAGTCCATACACACACAGAGACTCTGCTGAGTCCATACATACACACACACACACACAGACAAAATGGCAAAAAATCGTCCATTTTGATGATGTCACAAAGGCGGCAGGGCAAGCCACCTAAATGGTGGGTTAAACACTCTAGGGTAAGGAATACATGTTTGTGTTCCTGACCCTATAGTGATCCTTTATTCCTTTTACATCCTTTTTGGTTACATCAGTTTTGGTTAGCTTAGTGGAGCTAAACTTAAGAGGCAGACAATTGGTCAAACTTCTGATTGAGCTCCATTGGGACTCTGTAATTGTACAGCTAAAAAAAAGTCTGGGTGCAGTTAGAAAGGTAAGACTTGGAAATGCTTCAGACAGGAGATCTGCAACTTTTGCAAGCTGTTATTATGTTTTGGCGATTGATTGGATATGAGGGGTGAAAGATAGGTTGGAGTCAAAAAGAACACCCAGGCAGTGAGCCTGTGAGGTAGAGGTGATGGTAGCGCCGTTGACTTGGAGGGAGACAGACACGGGAGTAGTAACACTTGAGGGAGGAAAGACCAGAAGTTCTGTTTTGGACAGGTTGAGTTTAAGGAAGTGAGCAGCCATCCAGTTGGAAATGGCAGAGAGGCAGTCAGAGACATGAGTCAAGATGGGTGGAGAGAGATCAGGAGAGGACAGGTAGATTTGCATGTCATCTGCATAGAAATGATAACGGAAGCCAAAGGACCTGATGAGTTTACCAAGGGAGGCAGTATAGATAGAGAACAGCAGAGGACCAAGGACATAACCTTTGGGGACGCCTACAGAGAGGGGTTGGGGAGAAGAGGCAAAGTCAGAGAAAGAAAGACTGAAACGCTGGGGGAGGTAGAAAGAGCACCAGGAGAGAACAGTATCCCGTAGACCAAAATTGTGGAGAATGTAAAGAAGCTGTTGATGATCAACAGTGTCAAAGGCAGCAGAAAGATCAAGGAGAATTAGGATAGAGTAATGGCTGCGAGATTTAGCAGCAGTTGAATCGTTGGATACTTTGGTCACAGCCGTTTCGACAGAATGACCAGCGCACACAACTCTCTCGAGGATCTTGGAGGCAAATGGCAGTAGCGAGAATGGGCAGTGGCGTCTCTAGGATTCATTTTTAGAGGGGGGCACATGGAGGGCCAGGGACAAAAGTAGGGGGGCACATTTAACCCAGCCCTCGCCGCAGTTTGACCCCGCCCCTGTTGCATGTTAAGCCCCACCCCGACACAATGTGTTTAGTTTTTTTAATAATCCCTGGTGGAGGATTCATTATTTTCCACCAGGGATTATTAAAAAACAAACACATTACCCTTGATACAGTGCCATAGTTGCCAACATTTGAAAAACATTTCCAAGGACATTTTTGCAGCACAGCTATCAATTACTATCCCTGGACAGTTAGTGCTCCCTGTATAATACAGGGTTGTGTGTATAATAAATTGGGACAGTCAGTGCTCCCTGTATAGTTCTGCTGTCTGTATAATACAGGTCTGTTTGTGTATAATATCCCAAGACAGAGAGCAGCACTATACAGGGAGCACTGACTGTCCCGGGATATTATACAGGCACAGGCCTGTATTATACAGAGAGCAGCACTATACAGGAAGCTCTGACTATCCTGGGATATTATATACACACAGATCTGTATTGTACAGATAGCTAAGCATATACCCCATGTCCCAATCTCTAGACTACTAGTACCTGTCAACAGCAGCTCCCAGATGCGTGTAACAGGGCTAAAGTGTGTGGCAGCTCACACAGGTGATTCAGCGGTAAAGTGCACTCGCTGGCAGAGCCAAACTGGGAATCCCTGGGAATCCAAAGCAGCCCTGGAAAAAAAAGTATGCCATTCCTACAAGTCAAAATATATATATATAGTACAGTAAGCACACAAGCTCAC